AGATGCCATAGCTGCGAAATGCTACGAATTTGAGGACAAACCAACAATGACTCTTCACCCCAAGCGCCTCCTACAAAAATCCAAGCTGCCGCCAACCACCCAAGGTTCCGCGCTCACAAATGAAAAAAATTATACAAACAAAATTTACAAAAAAAAATGAAATAAATTACCGTAAAAATACAGATATCGACGAGAGGAATCCAACGGTGGGTAGCCCGTAAAATTCCGACTGCCGTAACACAAATTACTCCTCCGGAAAGACTCACCGTCGTCGAAATACGTGTCGACTGAAAAACAATTGCCGAAACAGATTCAACGTACCAAACCTAATGAAATTATCACCAAAAGTTAGATCTCGACGAGAGGCATCCAACGGTAGTAAACCATTGAATTCCCACCACCAGAGAGAGAGTTATGACTCCAGGAAGCAACATCGCCGGTTGTAGACATTGGGGGATGGGATTTGGATATGGAAGTTGAGAGAGAAAGAGAGAGAGAGAGACCGATATGAGTTGTCGTAAACTGATTAAACGGCATTATAGGTACTTTCAAATTGGCTTATGGGGTATGTTAAATTATTATAAAGAAGAATGGGGTTTGCACCAAGGTGTAATCCCCTTGGTGGTTAGTTATATATAATTGAAGTCTTAGGATATAGGTCCGTGGTGAAAAGACTTATTTGAACTGAAGGACAAGTCTAAATTAACATTTGCTTCACATCCTTTATGAATTCATTCCAAAAATGCCCCTCCACTCACAAATTTGAAATATTCATTAAGTAAATTCCAAACTGCATTTATCATTTTAATTATTAAGCATTTAACATTTTTTTTCTTCAAAATATCCATTTGTCTTCCTCTTTTTCCTCACACGTAGTAGCATTTCATACACTACTTATGAAAATTTCCTTATTTTTTCCTTTTTTTTTCCTACATAATATTGAGAATTACCAAAAAAAAAGTAAAAAAACATGCTATTTTTTTTTTAAATTTCAATTTACATATTTTTCAATTTTTCTATAGTAGACTATGGTATACTACGACGTACTGTAGTATACTATAGTGTAGTGATTTACTATAGTATACTACGGTGTACTATGCTTTACTACCCAACCCTAGCCAGCAAAAACTCATTGTCGTCGCTAACCCTAGCAGCTAACGCAGCCGTCGCCAACCCTAGCAACCCACGATCACAGCCATCGCGACTATAGTCACCTACCAACTTTGAAAAAACCTAGATCTGACATTTGAACAACCCAAATCAAGCAAAATATTTCAAAACATAAGGAAATTAGATCCAATTGATTTTTCAAAAAATACTTTCCATAACATCTCAACCATAATCACAGCCCCGCCCGCACAACCCCCAACACGCCTTCCACCCGTCGCCTCCACCCGCCGCCACCGCCTCCACCGGCGGCTGCCGCCTCCACTCGCCGTTGTCGCCTTCACCGGCCGCCGCCCCCTCCACCAAACCCTCTCGATCCATCGCCGGAATTTGCAGATCTGTTGTTCTCTGCCACCAGAACCCACCGACCATAGCCACCGTCCATGGCCGCCGTCACCAGCCCAACCATTACTGAGCGGCGAGAGAGATGTGGAGAGATAGAGATTGAGAGAGGGAAAAAAACGAGAGAAAGAGAACGAAATAAAAGTAGAGAGAAAAGAAAATAAGAGAAATATATCTGATAAGTTGGAGAAACGTGAATATATATATATATATTATATTTATGGTATAAGGGCAAACTAGGGATTAAAAAAAATTAAAGGATGTGGCTCATATATTATTTGAAAATAGGGATTTAATTAAAAAAATAAATTTAAGGTTGTCATTTAGTTCAAATTAGGTTTGATTTGAGGGGCTCTTAGCATATTAGCCCTATATAATTTGCATATGGGGTCCTAAAATAATCGCTTGAAATAAATACAAGATTCCCATTCCCATATGCAATTTTATTTTAATTTATTGTTATGTATTTGTAATATATGTGAATTAGAAATTTAACTTTTAATTCCAAATCTATAACTTTTTTATTTGAGCACTTTATAAATAAGTCCATCAATGGATACTTATTTGTAAAGGGGTCTAGATAAATTTTATTTTTTTACCAAAAAGTCCACACACTGTCTAGATGTTTGTAAAAGACTAAAGTAGCCCCTCACATTTTATTATGCTCCAGTTTCATCCTTTAATTTAATCTGACCTCAATTTGACCCAAATTTCACGAATTATCTAATTTGACCCAATACACAATTTTGTGGACAATTTCGTCTATCGACGCCGGTCTCTGGCGTAGACCTTTTTTTTTTTTTTTTTCCATCCTGTCTACCGTTCTCCGGCGTTGACTTTTTCGATTTTTTTTCTTCTTGATTTTTCCGCCGGTTTCCGGCGTTGACCGGCGGTCAACGCCGGTCTCCGACGTTAACTTTTTCGATTTTTTTTTTCCTGATTTTTCCGCCGCCGGTCTGCACCGTTGACTTTTCCGATATTTTAATTCTGTAACATCTTTTTGCCCCGCCCTGTTTAAACAACAATATTGTTGTGGTTGACGTAATATTAACTATATTACTGTTAAACACAGTAATATTAACTGTACTACATTTAATAAGTAATATTCCTATATGAATCTCTAACAAAGTAATGTTAGCACAACAAAAGTCATTATTATTTAGTAACAGGGTAATATTAATATGTTGACCATTTAACAAAGGTAAATATAATAAAAAGCCAAAAGAATTATTGATCTGGTTGACAATAGTATTACTGTAACAACAGTAATATTACCGCCAACCACAGTAATATTACAATAGTAGACAGTAATATTATTACGTTACTCCGTCAACAATTCAAACAAAACAAAAAACCCAAAAGAATAATAATATTGACGTGGTTAACAATAATATTATTGTGTTTACACTTATTTTACTGTCAATGACAGTAATATAATTACGTTGACTTGTCAACAAATCATACAAAATTTAAAAACAAATTAAAAAAAATAATAATGTTGTCGTTGACTCTAATTGTACTGTCAACGACAGTACAATTACATAAATGTACTGTCGACGATAATACAATTAAGTTAATGTATTGCGAACGACAACATAATTACGTTAATGTCCTGTTAATGACAATATAATTACTGTTAATGAAAGTACAATTACGATCAATGTTTAGCGACGAACGTAAAAAAATGGATACATATTTTAGGAGAAACAAATATCAAAAGACAAAAAAATCGAAAAAGTCAATGCCGGAAACCGCCGGCGGAAAAAACAGACCAGAAAAAAAAATGGAAAAAAAATCAACGTCTCAAAATAATTTCAGATAAATGAAGAAGTCAAAATTGGATTTTGAGGTCAAAATTGATTAAATTGGGGTTACAATTAAGAATTGGATGTAAAGGGTTGGGGGTAATTTTGTCCTATACATTATTTTTTTCTTTATTTAAAATACATATTATAGGGATGTGCTTACTGGCCAAAAAGATATAACCCCTAAACCTAGAATAATAAAGATGGTTGGGGTCTAAAATATCGGTTTATAGGGGTCTAAAATATCGGCTACATTTCTTCTATATAAGGTCCCTAAAGATTAATGTTTTTCTTAAGTACCGCCGGCGACGGGCGAAATTGTACTCAAAATAGTGTTTTGTGTCAAAATTGAATAATTTGTGAAATTTGGGGTGAAATTGTGGTTAAATTAAATTAAATAATTAAATTGGAGCATATTAAAATGTGAGGGGTTATTTATGTCTTTTACAAACCTCTGGCAATGTCTGAACTTTTTTATAATTTTTTTTTATCTGAACCCCTTTATATTACGTACCCATTGATAGGCTTATTTGTAAAGTGCCCTATTTTTTTTTTTTTTTTTTCCAAATAAGCCATCACAATCCGTACATTCCTTCTATATAAAGTCTTAGTCTTAGATGTCAAGTGTATTAAGAAAACATAGAATGCTCCAATATTAGAAAGTCTTAGATTCTCCAATGGTTTATACAAATGAGCTAAGTCCCTATTTATACTAAATCAAATCTAGTGAATGAATAAGATCACTTTACTCCTACGGTGCAACAGTGCAGTGGAAAATGATTATACAGGGAATTCATATCCAGATATTTAGAAAGGGATATCCTAGAACTATTCTTAGTATATTCTAGAATATATACAATTATAGCAGAGTTTTTGAAAGCCACCTTAGAATGGAGTTGGATTTAAGTGTTGGAATAGCCTTTTGAATTAATTATCGGATTCATCGGCTCATATTATGGAACACCTGGCAATTATGTATCCCATTGTCGATTATGCAAAGGACTAGTCGACTAGGATTTAGAGATATGATATGCTTTAACATTGCTATGCTTGCAAAACAAGGTTTGGCAAACTTTTACGGAAGGAAACCTCTTATTGTACTGGACCATGGAAGCATAGTATTCGGTTCAAAAATTCATACAAGGTGATTAGGGGACCTACTTCATCTTGATTTAATTTGCACATAGTTCATTTTGTAACTATAGAATAATTACTTAGGCAGCAATTTGAGTTATCACAAGTTCAATTGGCAATTTGGTTTTGCCCCCCCACTACAAGAAAAACTAGTTTCAGTGACCAAATTCTCAGCGACCATAACTAAATGGTCACTGAATGTTCACATTTAGTGACCAAACGTAATTTTGTAGCAAAAGTGGGAAGTGTTAAATCTTGTTGCGACCACCGAACATTTGGTAGCTATAAGTGGTTACTAATAGTTAGACATCTTATAGCAACTAAAATTAAAGTTTGTAGCGACAATTTTTATGGTCACTATAACTTAGTGTTAATAGTGACCAATTTAAGATCAATTTTTTTTACGGTTGCTATGAGTCTTTAATTTAATTATTAACAACCATTTAATTGGGTTACTAGCAACCACTTGAATTTGGTTACTATGAAACTACTTACGAAAATCAATTCGATTTGGTCACATGACAAATCATGAAAGTAAAAGAAAGATAGGGCGAAAATGCAAATAATGAAAAAATACAGCCATATCTTTCTTTCGTTTCTTCATCACACAACATTCTGTTACTCTCTCCGCTCTCTTTCTCTCGATCTCTACCAATTCTCGCATAATGTTACAGAAAATCAAGAAAAAATTATCTCTTAATTTCTTCATTGTGTTTGCACCAAAATCCCTCTTATATTACCTCTTTTGTTTTCCCCAAAAGTATTCGCCTATTTCACCCAATTTCCCCAAGCCCTACTTCCTATCCCTATTCAAAAAAATTCGAATTCTATAAGGGAGATTCGGAAGATTTGATTACAGGAAAAGAATTGGGGATTTGAAAAGATAATTTCAGATTTGGGTTTTAAGGAAAAACAATGGTTTGGAGACCTTCGAGAATGAATCGACGGGCATACAGAGCGGTGCTGAGAGCAACACGTCAGACTTTTGCCGGCGACACCATTATGCTCCGTGAGTCCGCCGCCAAAGCCCGGAAGAAATTCGAGGAGAACTGTCTCGTGACCTCCCCTGCCGATCTCAACCGCCATCTCGAGGAGGCGAATGAGGCCACCCGCTTCATCTCAACCATGATCGTTCAGGCCAAGCTCAACGATCGCGGAGGTTATGGTATGACTAACAACAAACCCTCTTCTCCGAACTCCAACCCAATTCCCACCTCCCTTTTCCCTTTTCCTTTTTTCTTTTCTTCTTATGATGTAATTGTGCACGCCAGGTGTTTGTCAAAAGTTCTATTGGGCAAGACACTACTTATCATGGCTTATTATCTTAAACAATGAACAAAAAATTGCACGCCGAAATTTGGTATGAAATTCAGCCTGCTCGCCGGAAAGGGTAATAAAATCTGCTACGCATCTGTTTTCGGAGCCAAAATCGAAGGGTTTGGAGTGTGAATTTGGGAATCATTCCTTCTCAAAACTCGTAGAGGACCTCGAAAACTGTGAGTAAGTGTTTAATTGTTTCCAATTCGAGCACGTGTTATAGACTTTTAGGGGTCGGAATCAGACGACAGCGAATCTGTCAAAAAAAGGGCAGTTTTGCCTAATCATCATACGGAGCTGTTTTTGTTATGTTGGAGTTATAATTTAGGCTATGTGTCTTCTGATGTTTTGTATATTGAGTTGTGAGGTTTGATTTGGTATATTATTTGGTCGATTTGGATAACTCTACAAATTGTTATGATTTTTCAAATAAAATGTGACAGCAAACAAGTTTGTCCAAAACAATTCTGGCAGTTTTCTGTATTCAACTTTTCGGGCTGTTATTGATGTGTTATCTTAGTAATTGGGGGTTGGTATCTTCATCACAATTGTAGATAAAGTTGTGAACTTTTATTTGGTATATTGTTTTCCCAATTTGGATAAGCGTACGGCCTGCTACGATTTTTGGAAGAAAATGTGACAACAAATAACGTTGGTTTCTAGTTTAATGTCCATAGTTAGCATCTATCTGTGTCATTCGTTAGTTGAGTCATTAGTTATCTGAAATTTGTCTTATGCACATTGAGCAAGAAGTTTAAAGTAATGTGATCGAAGGTGAAGCTTAAGAAACTAATGGATTCTTATTTCAGGTGCGTCATTCGTGGTTGTGTACCTAAGAAAATTCGGTCTATGATGTTGCTTTTGGTGCTAACTCGAGGTGAGAAGACTTTGTTATTTGAGAAAGACTTTGTTAGTTATTTCTTCAAGTTATATAACCAAATTTAACCCGACAGCTATGTTGGCGAAATTCTGAGAAATAGTAAACCATCTGCCGCACCTGTTTTCGGAGTCGAAATCAAAGGGTTTGGAGTGAGATTTTCGAATCAGCCTCTTCACAAAACTCGTCGAGGACCTTGATAATTATATGTAAGTGTTAAATTGCTTCTAATTCGAGCAAGTTTTATAGCCTTTTAGATATGAGAATTTGACGGCAGTGAGTCTGCCAAAAACAGGGCAGTTTTGATGAATCATATTCTTTGGGTTTTATTACCGTCTTAGGATAATAATTTGGGATATATTTATTAAGTAAACTTTTAGATGAAGTTTTCAGCTTTGATTTGGTATATTGTTTGGACAATTTGGATAACTTTACAAATAGTTATGAATTTTACACTAAATTGTACCAGAAAAGAGAATTTATCCGAAATTCTGGCAGTTTTCTGTAATCATCTTTTGGGCCTGTTTTGAATATGCTGGGATCATAATTTGTGATCAGAGTCTTCAGTGAACATGTAGATGCAGTTGTTAGCTTTCATTTGGCATATTACGTTCCCAATTTGGATAATCGTACCAATTGTTATGATTTTTCAAAGAAATTGTGGAAACAAATGTTTTAAACCTTTGTTTCGAGAACTTGTCAAACAAACACGAGTCAACTCCGTACCATGTGAATTGGTGCCTGGAGTGTGTTGTATTTGGTAAATAGAACGCCATAGAAATTGTGTATTATGTTCGATTGTCAATTATGGCATAAGATTTAAGTTAGGATGTTTATATGAAATAGAACCGAATAGTAAACGATTATGTTAACATTCGATAACTTATTTAATTCTAATATTTGATAGGTGTTGAGTATATTTACAGTGGTTCATTGAACGCAAATCGTTCTTTTCTCGACTCTTGGACCATTTAGGATTATTGTATTTCGATAGTGAGCGTCACAATTTTATTCTTTGGTACCATATATTTTGTTCTCTCTTTTGTTACTACAAGAAGCTGGCTTTTTGTTTGACATGTATAAATTTAAACAATACTCTTATTTTAGATGGAGCTGATACAGAAAATAATATTAGATTATCGGGTGTTGCTCACGTTTATACGAGATTTATTTATCGTGGATCCAAGTATACTTAGTATTATGTACTTTGATTGCATACTTGGAATTGATTCTATCATATGATTTCTTATTTTCTAATTGATTTTGTTTTTCCCTTTTTCAGGTTGGACTGTTTGATGAAGTGAAAGAACGTTATCGTGGAAGTCATATTTGTTGTCGCTTAACAATTTATGAAATGGAGTTTATAATGAAATAATTATAGTAATATTTCTTATTATTTGGAATGATTGATTTATTATTGTATTTAGTACGATAGATTGAAATTATAATATTCACATTTGATTGCAATCTTTAGTTTTATTTTAATTTTTTTTTTACAACCACTTTTGCAAATAAACATTAATGATTAATGCAACCAACTAATTAATTGGTTTGAATTCGTCAGTAAATTTAATAATTGTCGAAACCATGTAAAAACTATTGCAACCAATAATATGGTCACTATATGTATATATTTTAGCAACCAACAGATATATTATTTATAAACCAATATATACCGTCACTATATGTATATTATGTAGCAACCAAAAAATGTGGTGGCCAAATATATATCCTATAGCAACAATAAAATATGGTCACTATACGCATATATCATTTAGCGACCAAAATTATATGGCCACTATATATGTTGCTATAGCAACCATATTAATATTATTGCCACCATAAAATTTACATTAGCGAGTCAAAAACTGGTCGTTAATAATTTTATTTTTAGTGACCATTATTAGTTCGCCGCTAAATCTCATCTTTTAGCGTCCAATTAATTTTTTTGTCACTGAGTACTTTTAGTAGCTACCCTGTTGTGACCACCGGTGACCAAGCTTAATGTGGTCGCTAGAAGTTTTAGCTACCATTTTCTAACTTTTAGCGACCATTCAAAATCGTCACTAAATCCAATATTTCTTGTGGTGCCCCCCCCCCCCCCCCAATTAAGAATTGGATTGAATGAACATAACTAATTATATATCTTAGGTTGGAAAATAGTTAGGTTAGATGGGATCCTTTTTAATTGAGGACAATTTTTTATTTAAGTTGATATGATTTTGCTCGTTCGGTTTTTGCAGATTTTCTGGTAAATCAAAAATAAACTTTAAGAAAGTAGTTGTAATATCCAATGGCTTGTAGAAATATCAGGTTAGGTGTAGTTCAAAGGAGCCCAATGATATGCTTGTAACTTCAAAAAGTTGATCGAATTTCTAATATTTGTCCAAAATTTGAATAACAAACTTTTATAATATATCTTAATACATATCATCAAGTTGATCGTAATTTCTCTTGCAAATAACTTATTGAAATACGGAATACCTGCAGAAGATTGTAGTGAGAGAAGTAGAACATAAGAACATGACTATATATCATTAGTTGAAATTTGAACGAATTTCCGATTAATTCTGTAAGAATTATGGACAAATCTCGCATAAGATCATATATCGTGGCTACTTGTATTGCTGTTTACTGTTTGTTTTTTATTCTATGCTTTGTTGTTTATTGTTTGTGTTATTTTAAGTTATAAATTGCAGTTTGCAGCTTTCTATTATGTATAGCAAATTCTTTTTTATTTTTGTTCTTTTCATGGGTTAATTACTTAAGTAAAACCAGTTAGAAAATGCAAACATGAAAAAAATTCAATACCGTCGAGAACATACGGAATATATACAGTTTTAAGAAAGTTGATAAGTGAAGATTGCTATAAGATATTTAGGGAAATAAAATAAAAAAAAAATTCTACAAGAAATGAAAAATAAATTTCACAATAACTAGAGCTTGAGTAAAAGAAAGAGGTACGAGAC